CGATTTGTCCTCTCTTCCTAGGCCTCAAAGTGAGCTGGGACAGAGAGGTTAGACCGACCTTGTCTGTGTCTCTAACTTGTTTTGGAAACCCAAGCCAGAGTTAGGTCACCTGTGGCCAGTGTTGGGTGAGACCCAGGCAGCTGGGAAGCCGTCCAGCGGCTCCACAGTCCTGGAACAGGCACTCAGGCTTCAGGAGGGATCTGATTCCAAGATGAGGCTTCTGGGCTGAGTCAACAAGACTCAGAACATGCTGGGCTCTCACCCTGCAGCTTCCTGTCACCTCCCCACAGCTGGTGTCCCTGGACCCCATGGACTGGCTCAGCTCCGTGTTAGACTCTGGGTCCTGGCCCGGCTGGAAAGAGGGATTTCTGGAGGCGCCCAGAACAACCCCTGTTATTAGTATCCGAGCCAGTGTGTAATACTCAGGATGGGGGCTCTGGTCTCTTCCTCCGCTGTGTGATTCACCTTGAACCCCTCAGTCTGATACCAGGCTTCCCTAGCTCTTCCCTTCTGCCTGGTCGCAGGACTCAGGCCGTTGGGTTGCACCCATGTTCCTCTGAAGCTCTCCTGCTATCAGCTCGGCCCTTGAGTCTGGCTGAGCCCTGGCCCCACCTGCTGGACGCTGTCCTTGCAGGGCCAGGCGCCGAGCATCTGCTCCTTCCCAGGGGGCTGCTGCCTTCAAGGTTCTATTCCCAGGTGCACCCCTCCACTCTCCTGAGGGCTTGGGTATCCTAGGGGCAAGAAGGAAGCATCCTCCTTGGGTCTGAGTGAAAACCTCACAGGCCTGAAGTATACACACCACTGCCCTTTCATTTAGTCAGGCAAGTATACCTAGAGACGTCTGCTGAGCTGCTATGGTTGTACCTACAGTCCCAGTGCTCAAACCTGAACCGATCCGCATCCAATACCACAGATTGCCTGCCCAGCTCTGGGTTCCTGACCTGGCAGGTGTGGAGAATCAGACAGGGATCTGGGTCCTTGGATGTGCTGACCTGGGGACCACGCATGATCTGAGAGTGGCTGGCGCAACACAGGATCAGCTCCTAGTGTTGGGCCACAGGGCAAGGCTTAGAGGAGGACCTGGGGGGGCAGATGGAGGCCCATGGAGGTGGTTGGGGACATGGAGGCCAGGCCAGGCCCTGGGGTTAGGGGATGGGATAGGAGAGACTCAGCCGGAGGAAGCCTGGGGTGGTGCCGAGGCGGACTGGGCTGCCGCCCAGCGCACCTGACCCTGGGGCAGGGAACAATGGCCGCGTCTGTGCCTGCTGGCCGGCCGCCACTGCACATCTCTGTTTTCCTTCCCTGCCCTGGCTCCCAAGCCCTCCTAGCTCGTGCGCCTGCCTGGGCAGCCTGGCCAGTGCGTTCTTGCTGCTGTTCTCTCCCGCTCCGCTCTGCACTGCGTCTGGGCTGGGAACCGCAAGCACTTGGTCTCACCATGGTCTACGGGGCAAGCAGAGGCTGCCTGGGCCCCAGGCTGCTGACAGTGGCCACAGAAGGTGCCCCTCGGGCTTAGGGGCTCCCCAGACTCACCCATCACTCCTGCTCCAGCATCTGCAGCTACTGGGGCAGGCTTCCCACCCTGCACCCCACACAGGCTGTACCATGGTGGAGGAGGGAACTTTGTGGTCCTGTCCCCTCCCCTGGTTCCATTCTCCTTTCCATGCAAGACCTATGAAGATAGGGGGCCGGGGAGATGGCTCAGTAGAATAAGCGCTTCCCTCGCAAGTGCAAAGGTCTGAGTTCAACCCCTGGTTCCACCAAAAAAAGAAAAAAGACCTGTGAGGATCCATGTCCTCCAGGACAGCCCTACCCAGCCCCTTTCCTCTGTCCATACAGAGGGCCAGGCTGTGACCCCCTCTGATATACCCACAAAGGCTGGTGCTGGCCAGGGGACCCAACGTACTGGCTCATGGACACTGAGAATTCAGTGTCCTGAATTCTCTCTCCCAGGACCTGAGTGACCTCAGTGTCCCAAGGGTCTGGGGCCCCATCTGACAGCAAAGGGGCTGCCCATATGCTGCTGGGCCGAGGCTCTGCATTGGTGTCAGGTCGGGCCTGGGGGTGGGGTTAGAGTCACTGCTGACCTCGGGCCGGGCTCAGGGATCAGCCTGTATTTCCAGGTTGGAACTCAGTCAAGGGGTGGAGTCAGACGTTAGGGTAGTGTTGGGCCCAGGGCTCAGCTGGGACCCAGTCTAGGGTTGGGATCGGTGTAATTTAGAGCCCCAGTACTCAAGGCTGGTGTCAGACACAATACAACACAGCATGTGCGGGGGACAGTTCATTGTGTGGGGCTGATGGACACTGGCATATGCTGAAGGCGGCCGCTGTCCCCTCTCTCCTATATCTGTGTCTGGGGCTGTAGCCCACACCAGCTGGTCTCTGACTCCCCAGCTTCACAGAGCAGGATTAGAGCTGCTCTGTCACCTGCAAGGTGGAAAGTGCAGCAGCGCCCCCCCCATACGCCCCCCACAGCTAACTGTGACCCTCACAAACAGCGTTGATCTGACATGGCATGGCTGTAATACTGGGGCTCAGGCTCCGGGCCATGCTAGGGCGCAGGCATCCACGCAGGCCCCAAGGGCTCCCCAGCTCCTGCCCTGTCTCCAGCAGCCTATTGTCCCCAGCTTCCCACATTGGCAGCAGGCAGATCCAGGCACGGACAGTGCTCGGCCCGGGTCCCTCTCACACTCACTCAGCTCAGCCCCCTAATCTGGCCTCGTCCTGTCAAAGCCGCAGACACAAAAGAGAACCCGATTGACGTCAGGAGGGGCGCCCACAGGGCCTCTGTCTCTCCCAGAAGTTTGGCTCCGGTGTTCCATGCTGTATGTCTGTGGTTTTTAAAAGGTGAAAATGACCCCTGGCCTTCATTCTGTGTCTCCACCATAATAACCTGGTCAAGCAGAGGGTGGGTTCTGGAGTCCCTGGTCTCCCTGGCTCCAGTGTGCACGCATACCTCTTCTCCTGAGTCCTTCCTTCTGTCCCCAACAGCTCCTGGCCGCCTGGCCCTCCTGACCTCTTTTCCTGCTGAATGAGGCCCCTAGGTCGCCCTGGGTTTAATGGATTCCTTGATCTCAGCCTCCCCTAGAACCTCAGGCCCTGCGTTCCTCCCTCCGGTGGCCCCCACACCCATCCCAGGGCTTGGCACATAGTACGTGCTCAGTAAACCTTCCTAGGTCGGGGCAGATGGATTCCTCCTTCAGCTTCTCTGTCTGTCTCTGCTCACACTTTGCCCCGATTTGCTGATGCCCCCTGGTTTCTGACAACCTTCCTGTGGCTGCTGGGAGGAGCCAAGGAGGGGGCAGGCAAGGTTGCTCTTTGGGAGAGGCTGATTGTCAGGCCCTCGGTCAGCATGACCTGCCCTGGCCAGAGCGTGGACACTCTGTTTGCGCAGAGGACTCAGTGGCCAGGATTGCTCGGGGTCAGCACGGGGGCAGCAGGCTCATCTTGCCCCTCAATACCTGCCTGGGGACAAGAGCCTTCTCATGCCCCTGGGAGGAGGATGCAGAGAGGGGACTAACACCAGCTTCTTCCCTGACCCTTCCAGCTTCTGTAGCGACCTCACGATCACGGCTGCACTTGGTCCTGTGGTCATCTGGATTCACGGACAGTCCCTTCCCTGGGCCAGTTTTGGCCACGTCATGGACAGCCTGATGGTGGCCTCAGTTGTCTGTCTTTAGGACCATGTCTAGGCACGAGCACCGACCATCCCCAGCAACTTCTTCTCCCCGACCCTTCCCTGCTCCTGCAGCCCCTGGAACCCTGAACCTCATCCCTGGCCCCATCAGACCTTGGGCCCCACTCAGCCAGGAGCACCCTGTCTGCTGCCCTGGCCCCTCTTCAGGCACCCCACTAGGATTGGGGGGTCTCCTAGAGATGGGCAGGTCCAGGCTGCCCCAACCCAGTCCTCAGAGCACTGCCCCATACCTGTCTGAGTTCTAAGCCACTGCATGGCCAGGTGGGAGGTGACTTCTTCTATTCTAGTGGAGACACTAGGAGTTGGGGCAGGGAAAGGCAGGTGTAGGGTCGCGTTGGCAGCTGGAGCTCACCCCTGTAGCCTCTGATTCTGCTCTGCAGTTTTCCTTAAGTGGATCCACTGCTGCCTCTGCCAAGGGTCAATTGGCCAGCGTGCCATCCTTCTTCTCCCAGCCCTCTGAGCCTTGTGCCAACTGCTTCCTCCTACCCCCCCATTTCTCTGTTTCTCTGTCTCTGTCTCTGTCTCTCTGTCTGTCTGTCCCCACTTTGCCCACGAATAGAACGAAGGCTTTGAACCTGCTGGTTTCTGCGGCTCAGCTGTGGAGTTAGGATTTGTTTGGGGAGGCCAAGCCAGGGTTTTGGCGGCCTTCTGCCGCCAGCGGAGTGTCACTAAAAGAACTCAGGAACAGGGAGGTGGTGGTCTTGAGAATCCTGCTGCCATCCCCAGTAATTGTGTGGCCTCCAACAAATCCCATCTGAGCCCCGGTTTCTTATAAAACGGAGAAGCCAGCCAAGTCTGGCTGCCTCCAGGGGCTGTTAAATTCACCATGGCTTTGACAGTGTCTGCAGAGTTGGCCAGGAGTGTGCAGGTGGATATACAGAATCCGTCCCTTGCCTTGCAGCACTGCATGCAGCACTGGGCCAGGCGGGTGACCGCGCAGGCTCCCTGCCGAGGGAACGTGGCAGGTGTCTGGGTGCGACATCCCCAGGCGACTTGTGTGGGCAGCTTTCCCAGCAGTGCGTTCTCCATTCCCAGCCAGTCCTGCTGTGGGGACGGGACAGCCCCCCTGCCCATAGGAGGGGTCGGGGCCACTTGGCACGGGCCCAGGCTGGCCGGCCTCCCACCACATGTTTTGTTTGCAGAGTTTGGAATGTCCTGGGACGCAGCGCTCGGCTCCCTGGGGGACACGGTGGTGCCATCGCCTTGATCTCATTGCTGGACAGGTCTCTCCTTCATTCCAGCTCGGGACTCGGCAGGCTCCCAGCCACAGCTGCTGCCAGTCCGGGCCCGTCTGTGTCTGTCCCAGTTCTGGCAGCTTCAAGCCTGCAGCTGGGAGCCGGAGGACTTCCCAGGGGAGGCTCTTCCAGCCGGTCTGCGTGGGCTCTGGCCGTGCCGCCAACCCGGACCTCCTCATGTCTTCCCAGCTGCCTCCCATCACAGCCTCCTTTGCCCATGACCCCCTTTGCCGGGGCCCCGAGGACTGCTTGGAATGATGTTCTCAGGACCCAGAGTCTCGGGACAGCCCAGAGCGTGCCAGCTGCCCTGATTTCTGTTCCCTTTAGCAGGACAGGCTCTGTGTGGGGCGGGGCTCCTGCTTGGTGCTTCGGGGAGCCAGTGTCCGAGACATGGAAAGATTCTTGCACGGGTATCCGAAACATGCCTAGACTTGGGGGAGACATGCAGGGTGGATTAATTGCAGGATGATGTTGGGGGGAAGCCAGGATTCTTACTCAAAAGCTTTACCAGGCCAGTTTACAGCTCTGGTGCACCTGGTTCACACCATCGCTGCTGTCTGAGGTGGCTGGGGACTCTGATGCTGACCTGGGCCCATACGTCCAACTTGGGGCCCACCTGGCTGGAGAGGGTAGTACAGGTAGCCCTGCTGCACCCAAAACACAGGAAATCATGGGATGTATGTGTGCCACACACGTCGACTCTGGAAAGGCCTTGGTCTCTGATGGCCCGAGCACACACTCGTCTCATACTCTGCCACAGTGGGGGGGGGGCAGACAGTCACGGCCCACCTGGGCCCACCTGGCTGGGAGGTCAGTCAGGGACACTGTGGCTGTGCAAAGACAGATCCTCGCTGGGTGGGGGACCAAGCCCTGGACAGTCCCCTGTGGTGTCCTCAGCTGGGGCAATCCCTGCCTGATGTAGGTCAGCATCCACCCCAGGGATTTAGGCAAACTCTGTTCTTTCCACACCATTAATGAGGAGCCTAAAGAAGTCAGTCCCTCTGGACATCCCCCCAGCCCCTGGCGGCCTGGCTGGGGCCGCTAAGATTCCCAGTGTTTATGACCTCCCTGGCCCTGCAGACAGACTCCTCTCTCTAGCTGTTGGAATTAATTTTGTGAATCAGAAAAGGGGGGGCCATGGCCTGCTGGAATCCAGGACGATGACATCCCTGCCTCCCCCTGTGGCGAGTCACATTCGCTAATTCTATAAAACAACCTCTGTGTCCAGCCCAGCCTGGGGCCGCCTGCCTGGCTTGGGCAGCCTCATGTCTTTGCTATGTCCTCCCCCCGGGAGGGGGCTGGCCCAGGCCCCGATGATTCAGGCCCCCTGACACCTTGAACTAATGTCAGTGGGAACCAAGGCTGCAGGCCCCAGGACCTTCTGGCCGGTTGCCTGGGCCCGCGCCCTGCACGGGGCTTGGCCCTGGCTTGTGCCTCCCGTGACCCTTCCATGGACAAGGCCTGGCTGAGAGAGGAGGCCAGGCTGCAGAGCTGTTCCCTCATGGTCCCCTCACTGCACGCTGCCCGCACTGGCGCCGAGCCGTCCCTCGGCCCTTGGCCTCTTCTGGTTTCGAGGACTCGTTCTAAAATTAATATGGGGGAATTCGGGGAATTTGTGAGCAAGTTCCCAGAGAACCGAGGCTGCCATGGGGACAAGTGTCCCTGCTTCCTCCCATCCTCCCCTCATTTTCCTTTTCTTAATTTCCTGTGTGGACAGGTCCTCACTGGGCAAACTCATTCCATCCCGGGTGCAGCAGGGTGCCTGTACTCTGCACGTGCTGTGGGCTGTCCTCTCTTCACTCCACTGGAGAAAATTCTCCAAGAGCAGTCTCTCATACCGGAGTCTCATAAGTCATTGAATATAGGATTCATAAAATATTTTCTCTCATCCTGCAGGCTTTAAATTTTTTTCTCGATTGTACCCTTTGAAGCTTTTAACTTGATAAAGCCAGATACATCCACTTTTTTCTATTATTTCTTATACTTTTGGCATCGTATCTCAGAAGTCATTGCCGAATCCAACATCGTGAAGATTTATTTCTATGTTTTCTTCTAAGTGTTTTTATAGTTTTAGCTCTTATTTTAGGTCTCCAGTCCATTTTATTCATTTTTGCGTATGGTGTGAGGTAGGGGTTCAGTTTCTTTTTCTTTTTCTTTTTTTTGCATCTGGAAATATAATGGTCTCATTTATTATATAATCTCAGTGTTTATGACCCTCTAGTCCCGCCAAGTGATTCCTCTTTCTTTGTTGAATGGTCTTGGCACCCTCTGTGATGATTTATTTTTCAATTTCATTCTATTGATTTATATGTCTGTCCTTACTGTAGCTTCGTCTTGAGTTTTGAAGTCAGGAAATACGAGTCTTCCAACTTTGTTCTTTTTCAGGATTATTTTGGCTATTCAGGGTCCCTTGAACTTTCATATAAAAGTCTTAGGTTTTTGGGTTTTTCCATTTCTGTAGAAAATACCACTGGGATTTTGATAGGGAGTGCACCGCATCTGTTTTTGTTAGCATTGTCATCAGCTTTGGATAAAATTGTCATCTTAATAGTATTGAGTCTTGTAATCCATGAACATGGGATGTATTTCCATTTATTTAGATTATTAAATTCTCTAATGATGTGTTTCAGTCTTTGGTGTATGAATGTTATATTTCTTTTGTTCAATTTCTTCCTAAATATTTTATCCTTTTTAGTGCTGCTGTAAATGAAATGTTCTCAATTTTTGTTTTGGATTGGGTTATTTAAAACAGGATCTAACATAAAGCATTACTATAAACATTATTTACAAATGAACACATCAAGACCCTACTTACATGAAGTGGGTCCACCTGTGACACTTAACCTAGGTCAGTTGCTGTCAGGTGTCTGCTCTATGACCCTTTTTCTGTCCTGGTCACTGTTTGGGTCTAGACTTCTAGGGTGACATCTCCATTTCTTTTCCTATGTCTCCCAGTGTCCAGCGTCTCTGTCTGAGGCAGCCTCCTCTTTGTTGCTTGAATAATTCTTCTAAATCTAGTCGCATTCCTTCCTTTCGTAGAGTTCCCGGAAGCTTCCCATCTTATCCGTGAGAGAGCTGAGAACTCTTTGGCCTGGTGGTTGAGGCTTTAACTTCAGTAAAGCTTCAGCTGCCGGCTCTGTGTTGATAGCCCTTGTAGGCCTTTTCCACAGAGATGTCCCAGATGCTGCAGTCAGGTCCAAGGGAGGCCCCGTGATTCCTCCCAGGCCCCAAATTCTCCCTGTGGGTCCCCTGCAGAGCCCTTTCTGCTCCATCCATGCCACGCCCACCTCCTCTGCTAGGGCTGCCTGCTTGCTTGCATTCAACCTGCCCCTGGGGTTGCTCTTTACAATGACATCTCAGGGGGATGAGCCTTCTCCAGACATTCCTAGGGCACCAGATGCCCTGTGCCCCTCCTTAGAGCAGGACCACCACATCTGGCTCTGCCTGGAGCAGGGTAGCACCACCGAGAGAATGCCCTGGGGAATGAACAGGCTGGGGGGCAGGGCTCTGTGGTCATGGTCAGCGAGCTGTGGCAGAGGTGTGGCAAGGGTCTGAGGATGGCTGGTGTGCATGTAGTTGGATTCACAGGGCCCTGGGATCTGGACAAAGCTGTACATGTGTCCCCACCACCACCACTTACCCTCTGGGGACCCACCTGTCCAGTATTCCTCCTCCCCTTATGGCTGGCGTTCATCACCCCCATTTCCTTTTACACCCACAGCTCTGCCCACCTGAACTCACCCTCCCAGCTGATCCTTCCAAGAGAGTGAGCAGCTTCCTCCACCTCCCCTGGGACACCCACCCTCTTCCTCCTCCTTCTTGGTTCTCCATGGCCTCCGGCCTCATGATCTCCTGACCCTGTCACTGCCCCCCCTCCCCCAGCTCTGGTAGCCTCTTCTCTACCACTCATGGAGGCAATTCTCCAAGGCCATAGGCAACAGCCATGTCCCTGCTGGCCTGGCGATGTCCTGGAAGGTGACACTCAGAGACCATCAGGGGCAAGTCCTGAGGAGGTGAATGACAAGTGTCTTTCAATGTGAATTCTTTGGAGAATGACTTCCTCCTTGGTGCCTGTGAGGCTTAGGAGCAGCCAGGCACAGCGGGAACACAGGACAGATGGCTGGAGTGCGCTTACCATTACCCACAGGGCAGGTGCTAGGAGGGGTGGGTAAGGGGCTGGGAGTTGTTACGAGTCAGGCAATGGGAACATTTTTTTATATTATTATATATTTGTTTTATTTTATTTTATTAAGAAATAAATATGAATGAGACAGTTTCAAAGCTGTATAATAGGACAGTTTCGATAATCAATACATTGTACATTGTTATTTTCTTAGTGGTTATCCATAGTACAAGAAGCAGACAGGATATCCTGTCCAAACACTATTAGTACACCTCTTTCTTCTCATTGAATTAAGCGAAAAGTAGCTGTATATCTATCCTATTTTGTGTATATAAATACAAAATGATCTTTCCTTTTATCCCCCCCCTTTTTTTTGTTTAGTCCTGTCAGAGATGAATGTTCTATTGGCATCTAAATATTAAGGTGGGGCTGGAGAGATGGCTCAGTGGTCTAAAGCACCTACTTGAAACAAGCTTGGCAAAGCACAGGGACCGCGGTTCGATCCCCAGCACCACATGCCAGCCAGACCCGCCCCCTGGTGGGCTGAGCTGGCCACACACACACACAATAAATAAATGTAATAAATAAAAATAAATAAATATTAAAAAAAATAAAAAAAAATAAATATTAAGGTGTTTGAATTCAGCTAAACAATCCAACACTGACTAGCAGTCTATAATATTAGTGGGTTATCCTCAGAAGTTATTGACTTGAGCCTTTTACAGCTCATTGTATTAATATGGCTTTACTTTATTTTTTTATTTTTTGGCTTTACTTTATATACCTCTTTTTATACTTTTTTGCTGGATGTTTAAGACCAAGATAAAGCAGACGTATATAGCAAGAAATGTAACTTTTGTATTTGATAAGGTCAGTCAAGTACCCTCAGGATTTATCCTGTAGCCCTGTACCGCACTTTGTAGATCCTTTGTTAGTGTCAGCCATGAGGATGAGTCACGGCCATTGCTTGACCAATTTGCTCCCTGTGAAAGCCTGAGAGAATGTTTTTTCTCTCCATCTGACTCCAAGCATACTCTACATCACTGATCACACTCCTCTGTGGCTCCATGATCTTCTTGATCAGATAATTTGGAGCACAGCTGAGTTACATGTTGTTACAGTACAGGTTCTCCTA